TTTCTTTTGTTGGTGGCAGATTCAGAAGACGTCTGTGAGCGTACGGGTATGAGTAGCAAAGGAGAGACAGTTCTAGTACCTGCTGCCTGTGGGATTTATTTTGTGCCAGGAAGGAGCTGAGGTGCTGACTACTGAATAACACCTAAACTTTATTTCTGTTGCTTCTCCCAGTAACGCACTGGTAAGTTTATGTACTTCTCATTTTCACTGCTAAGATGGTATCTTGCTAAATGTGATTGAAAGAAACCTTTTTAACAGCTTACGTGGCAAAATGTGTTCATTTTTTCACTGGAGTAGCTTTTACAGAAAACACTAGCTGGCCTGCCACAGTTCAGGAATAAATAAAGGGGAAAACTTTGTCAATCAGATTGACAAAAACAATTTGAAATTGCTGTTCCCTCCCACCTATAACCTACAAACCTTTGCTCACGTTGGTACTAGTCAAAGAGGGTGGGGCAGCCCTCCAGCTTTGGGATAGTATCATCCCGGAGTCACAGACATGCTGTAATTTTCCTGTTACACTTCACTGAATGAACTAGGCTTTGGTCTTGAATTTCATATGAAAATCACATGTCCATTCCTGGAATTAAATCTAATGATACTTTTCCTAAAATAAGCCTAGAATAGAAATTATGTTATTTTTAAGTGGTTCTGTAAATCACAAGAAAAAAAGCTACCAGTTAGTGGTTTCTCCAGAAACCCAAATCATTGACATGTTATTGGCTAGAAGGAATCACGTTGGCTGAAGGAGCTAGGTCTGGAAGTCGTGCTCCCTGGCTCTGCTGTCAACTCTGCCACTGGTTTTGGGAGGGATTCTTTGGAGCGAGTGCTTCTTGGGCAAGTCATTATTTATTCTTAGTTGTCAATAAAATAAGGATAGTGTTATTTACTTTTCCTTCAGTGCGTTACCAGCGTTATTACTATGTTTTCCATTTAGAGAGGATGCTGATAGGTGTTACTGTAGCTCTTGGATTTCCAGAACACTGTTTTGAATGCATAGATAAATCAAAGATGGGGAAAGCAGAATAGTGATTATTTAATTTACCATGCTTGGTGACGGGTCTCTGCCAGGCACTGGCTGTAGGAATTGTTGGTGCTGTGTCCTGACCATCTACCGTGAAGGGAGGAATTCACTGCTGCTGTTCTTCCCTGGGTGATGACACTGGGAGGTGACACTGGGATGCCTTGCGTTCCCAAACCCACTTGAGTCGGCAGTTGTAGTGAAGCATTCACTGGTATTTTTTCCCTCTTTTCCGAAACTGTAACCAAGAGGGCAGTTGTACACCGCACGTCCCTACAGAACTGCAAATAAACCCAGCGGTTTAAAACAAAAAAAAACCCCAACAACAACAACAAAAAAACACAACTCAGAAAACGGTGAGGTTTATCATTGTACTGGATTTCCTTTTCTCAAGTGCTTCCTTTGGATCCTGGGAGAAGAGCTCAAGCGCGGGGTGACTTTCGAGCGAGCAGTTGTACCAAAAGGCGTGGGAGGCAGGGTCAGGGAAGAGTCACTTGGTTGTTATGTGGGTGTGAAAAGCCTATGAAAAGGAAAGGGCGGAGGAAAATACTTCACTTGAATTAAACAAATAAAGGAGAATGTTATATGAATTAGATATTTGAAGTTAGATTTTTGCAAAGTATTTTTGTAAATGAACTGCATGCCTTCTGAAAAGCATTTATTTAACAGTAAGCTTATCAAATTGTTCTCAGGAGGGACTTTATTTTTTTAAAAAAGGCAAGAGCAACAAAAATCATTGTTTTCTTATCATTTCAGATAAAAGGAAAGGAAGTTGCGAATTTTTATAGCCCCTAAATTGTTAACTGTTAAACCTGTATTGAAGCAGTGGATCAAATTCCCTCAGCCTTATGCTGGAGCAATTTTTTTGCTAAGAAATGACAAGCAGGCCCTGTTTGAGGAGAAGGAGTCTTAGATGTTCAGTTCATTGTTGCGTGCCCACCTGTGGGACAGGAAAATGCTGCTACTGATAATTGCCTGTTTTGGGGAGCAGGCTGTTACCATTGATGCGGTGCGCAGAGATGTTCACACCCAAAAGAACTGAAAAAATCATATTTTGAAACCTGATGTCTTTTTTTTTACCATGTATGTTTGTAGTATCTGCATTTCCTTGCAGTTTTTAAAATGTCACATAATATGATAGAAAGAACCTAAAATACATGGTGTAGAGATTACATTTTTCCGTGTTTTTTGTGATTACTTTGACCAAAAAAAAAAGCATCACATGGAGGCAGGTTTAACAGCACTTTCTCTCTGAAGCAGAAAACTGCTTATTGCATTAGTTAGGGAAGGAGGACTTGATTTTATAAAAAAAAAACAAAACAAGCAAAAAACCCTAGAAACCCCCCCTCCTTTGTCCTAAATGTTAGCTTTTTAAACACAAGCTGTAAATTGCATATAAGGAAAACACTGACACAATCTAAAATGAGCTGCACAGGTGTGTAGGATGATGTCTTCTACACAGTGCTTGATGGTTTAAGTCTGTGCACTGCCTTGATGGAGTTCATTTGTGCTGGTCTCAAAGGGATTCCCATGCAAAAGTTCACAGGTAAGGTATAGAGAATTTGTTGGCTTGTTGTTTGTTTTGTAAATTTTTAGAGCTAAGTTCTTTATGGCCCGCAGCTATCCAAATGCAGAATTCGCAGCTGAAGTTTGCATGCAAAATGGTGAGCTCAAAATTGGACTTGGAAAAGAGGAATGCTTCCTCTTCCATTGCTCTACTAGAGTGGTAATACCAAGACTTAAAAAAAAAAAAAAAAAAAACCAACAAAGTGTGTGTACCAGCAATGTGAGATATGAATAGAAGCCACTTTTATCTGTGCGTTTTCAGGGTAGAGTTGAGTGTGATGATCTCTGGTGTCTAATTCTCTCACTTGTTTCCCATATGTCTTCTGGCAAACTGGGCCACCTCTAGGCACTGCTGCCATGCCATGCTGTGACGTTAGGGGTTCACCAGTGCAGTAAATGGAAGCCAGCAGGCATTTCTAACTTCTGATCAAAGTTTGGGCACCTGAATTGTAGCTTTAAGGACCTAAGCGGCTACTGAGATTCCCCATATGACCTGTTATTACAGGCTCCAGTGAGAGTGTACATGCAGTTTTATTGCCAAAACATGAGATTGGCAGAAGTGAGTCATAACTGTGAAGATCTCAGCTTTGCTCTTTGATTTCCTTTTATCCACCAAAAATAAAAATATTTCCAAGAATACAGGTAGGTATATGCTGTTCTCCTGTTAGGGCAGAGCTCTTACTGGCTCTTAAGTGTATTTACATAGCTCGTAGGATATATTTTTCAAGCTTTAGTATGAAAGGAGCCGTGTATACATTTTATCTAATCTTCAGTGCAGTAGGCATGAGCAATTCCTGGAGAAGGGACCAGAATATAGGGCTCTACCCCATCTCCTGGGAGTCTCTTTCTCATGGAGTCATACTTGCCCTCCAGTGCTTTCTCTTTAGGCTTTGTGAATTTTGAATTCCTCTCTGAGCTGGCCCAGCTCCAGTGGGAGGGCAGAAAGCAGCCTCAGCCCAAGCTCTGATTGAAGTCTGCTGGTTCAGGGACTTTGTAGGAGGTGGGATCTGCAGGGGGAGAAGTGCCCAGCTTCCCAGGTGAGCTCTTACCACTGGGTTACTATTTAAAGGTGACAGTATTATCTTCTGTGGACATGTTTTTGGATTCCCATGATTGTTACATGCTGTCTTGCAGTTGATGTGGTTTTAAGATGACCAGAATGTACGTGATGAATTGAACTGCTCTGCATATTTCACATGAAGTTTCAAGGCTAGCTTGTTCCACAGTCATCACTGATGACCATGTGGCCGTGGGGTGAGCCAGTTCAATTTGCTGATCTGTGTGAAAACTAGATTTTTCTTCTCCCTTTCTTTTCTTTTGGGAAGATGAGAACTGACCCAACTCATTGCATAGCTGCATGACTGCTAGTGCTGATGGGGAAGCAGCAGGAACTCATGGCCAGAAGCGAAGGAGAAGGTGGGACTGTCCCTTTTAGTGACACCTGCATGACATTCAGTTCAACCTGCTCAGGACACCACACCTCCCCTGTCTCTCAGTCATGGTGGAGCTCAAGCAAGAGCTGACTTAAACTTGTTCTTCAAAACAAGCAATCTGTTTATTTTTAGTCTTCCCTGTTTCCCTTTGGCATCTGGATTTTAGGTGTCTACATTGAACGGAAGCATCTCTGTACAATGAGTAGTCAGTGTACTCCTTCTATATTTCTATTTTAGGTTCAGAGCCCAAGTACTTAAGAGTAGGGTTAATAACATCATATGGTGGTAAAGAGGAGTCCATCCCTTACTAAAATTTCTAGACATCAATAAAATAAATAGTCTAGAAGTAATATTTGTAGAGCCTGCTTGGCTCCTGACATTTATCGAATTGGCATTTTTTTCAAACAGCAACACAAATTGTTCTTCTTTTCCTACTTTTCACAAAATTTGCCTTTGTCTATAATCCCACTAACCATACCCCGTCCTGATCGGAGTTGGGGTAGAATTTCCATTGACCAAGAGAAAAAACAGCAAAACACCTCAAAACCCAACTTCAGAGATTATTTCAGGGCAGCGATGGTTCGGGCACTGAGCTTCCAGCAGACATAGCACAGTTCTTCATGTTGTGAAGGATTGTCTTTCCATATTCCTCTTTTCTTCTACTCTTGTGCTTTGGAGATTTTTTTTTTTTTTTTGTGCTTCTTTTGCATTTTCCTCTTGATTTTCCTGATTCTTAAACTTCATATTGCTGTAATCCATTTTTCTCACACACATGCTTTAAACATAAAAGGTGTGCTCATGCCATATGTCCTTTTGTGTGTTCTATATGCTTACTTATTAACTTGAAAATAGCAAACAAAGCACACGATCTGACAAACAATCTGGTATTTCACCTTAAGGGAGGATTTTTTCAGCACGCAAATCAAGAGTAAATAGTTAAAACTGCTGTGTAGTACAGATTCAACCACATTAATGCTTACTCGCGTGTATAAGTAAATTTATTTGCATGCATAAATGTTGACAAAGTTGAACTCTGTATTATCAAATCCACTGTCAGAAGTTGACCCCGGGCATTTTGCAAGAAAGATAATGATTGTCTCTTTAATTACTTAAATTCTGTTTTGCCTCTTTAGGAGAGCTACTCACAACTCTGTAATTACTGCATGCCTGCCATTCAGATCAGGCTCTCTCCTGGCAGTGCAATGCGCAACTTTGAACGAGAGTGGCGTGGCATAGCTACAACATCCAGCTACAAGGACCTCCTTTTAATTGAACACTTTGATTAATCACACAATAATCAGACGATTGAGTTGCTACAGAAGTTTGCCAGCCCTCTGCTAAGCGCTTCTACGGAATTACAGAATCATAGATGTTAGAGATGGAAAGTGCATTAGATCATCCAGACCATCTTCTTGCCAGTACATGTTTTCTGCTACATTTTTTTTTTTTTCCCTGCGGTTTATGGCTAGAGATACTCTAAGAACTTGGCCTTCCACTTCTATCTTCTGGAGTCTTTTCCACAAGGTTTGATGGCAAGATTTTTCTTTGCCTGATATTTGGCCTAAATTTTTCCATTTCTTTGTTTCACCATATTATGTCAGGTCTACGTTCTCATCTTTCAGTAATTCTGCCTGTGGTGTTAGCAGCCTGTAAATATGAACAGCATAGTGTTACCTGCTCTTGAATATTAGATATACCACTTACCTTAAGTGGTGTATGTTCAGTTTTTCAGAATTTGGGAAAACTGCATTGATTAAAGATAGGTTTTAAACTGAACAGCTACAGTATAATTTCTCAGATGCATATTTTATTCTAGTGTAAGTGTGGTCTGTTATGGTGTCACTTGAGAAATTGTTGAAAATTACCTGGAAGGGCCAATTTTGCTCAGAAATTAAAATGTTTTAATATGGGCGAGTTATGCCAGTATAAGTTCAGTGATTTTTTTTTTTTTTTTTTTTTTTTTTTTTCTCTCCTAAACTCTCTTGTGGCGTTTAAACTGCAAGGAAATTATGTGTGCAGCAAGTCTGTAGAGGGCATTACAGGGAAAATGAAAAAATTACAGTTTGCCATTAGTGACAGAAATAGTGAAAGTTGTACTGTAGTTATTTGAGTCTTTCCCCGTTTTCCATTAGACTGTCTTCTTCTCAAAGTTTCTTCACTTCAACTATTGTTTCTTACTATAGTTTCACTTATTGGGGGGTGAAACAGCCGTTTGGAGGTGGGAAACAACTGTTTGTTGTTTCTTCTTCAGGGCTTGCTATTTGCTACCAGAAGCCTTGGGCACCCAAGCAGGGCTGTCTCCAAAGTTTTCCCTTGTCTTGACCACAAAGAGCTAGATCAGTATCCCCCCAAAACCAAACACTCTGTGGCCCTGAAGAGGACAAACAAAGCATTGTTTTTGCTGTCACCCCATGAGAGACAGGCCGGTCGGTATGAGCTAGCACATGGCCACGCTGGCCAGAGCCAGTCCCTTCAGAGCTGCCTACGGTCACGATCCAGCGCCTTTACCCCAGACCTCCTCTGCTTTCTGAAGCATTACTACTGTTTTTCCTTACAGAACGCCGCAAAGGATGAGAGGGCTGTGTCGCAAGCCTCCAAATAAAGGTTGTTTTTTTTTTTTTTTTTTTTTTTGTAGGGTGGGGGCAAGGGTGTGCATTGCGTGCCCGCCGGAGGCACAGCCCGCCTGGAAGCTGGCAAAGGCAGGGCCAGCGCCAGCACTGCACAGGTGTGATCCCCCCCCAGCCATCCGTGTCGGCAGAAAGCGTTCGGCTCGCTCGGAAGGGATCCCAGGAGCGGGTCGGCGTTGGTGTGGCGCAGAGAGCTGGACCTCAGGGATCTCCATGGACCTTGGGAACTCGGAGTGGTAAGCGTTCTTCCTTCAAGCCACCAGGAAGCTCGGTGAAGGGTAGGGATGTTGATGAGAGAGGCGAGGATGGGTGTATCATAGGAGGTAAAATTACTATTAGTGAGTGGATTTAAGGTGTTTGAGGATCAGGTTGTGTAACTGAACGGGGAGATGAATGAAAAACATGTAAATGGGTGGGTTAGTGAGTGAGTAAGAGAAAATGTGAGTGGGAGGGTAATTAGACTGGCAAGTGAGAGAGAGGAGGTAGGAGTGGGTGAGTAGATGGGTAGGTATGTAGCAAAAAAGTTGGAACTGCACTATGGGCCGACTCTGCGATGATACCTGAAAGACTGGTAACAACCACCCTCCTTGAGGTACGCAGAGAGGACCGATGGCCAGCGCTGCTCTGGGGACTGGGGGCTGTGCAGGTGAGCAGGCAGACCCTCGAGGCCTCTGTTGCTTCCCAGTGGTCTGCATCCAACTCGTTGGATGGCACATCATCTACTCTGCCTAAACTTCAGTGTGTCTGTGCATGCAGCAAACAATAATCTTCACCTTGGTCAGATGGTTGCATTTTGCTAGTGTTCCTGCAGAAGTACATAAGACCATAATTAGCATTTGCTGGGGTTTTGGCTCTAACAAAGTCACTGAGAAAGCAGGGGAAGCACAACAGAGACTTTTAGTCTGTCTGGAGCACTGCAGGTTGTAGGGGTCTTACCCAAGAGCTGAAATGACTCGAGAGCTGCAGGTGGAAGGAATTACCTGACAAATAAAAAGTACAGAGATGATGGATATGCTGGAATTATAAATGTGCAACACATCAGCATAAAGGCATATCCCAGATTTGAAGAAATGAATAAAAAGTGGAGGTAAAGTAACTTTAAAGCATCAAACCTTGACTGACTGGGCTTTTATTAGGATCTTTTGCTGTGACTGCTGTAAGGCTGGACATAGCTCACCTTGATTAATACATAACTTTTTAATTTACTACAGCAGAGTAACAACCCAAGCTGTGACCTCTCTGTAGTCAGGTACGGTCAGGCTGTTGTTGAAGGTAATGGCTCTACTACCCTGTGTGATACTAAGTTGTGCATGGTACATTTTCAATATTTATCGTATCAGAGCAAGTCCTTTGAAGCCCAAATAGAGGTGAGTGACTGCTGCAGGAAGTTACAGGCTTTATCACAGCTGCTGAAAAGGTGTGTATTTATTAAGGAGTAGCTTAATATGCCGTGTTGTACTGGAGAGTCCTACTAGAGACCAGTCCCTGCAGGTTTTTCATCCAGTCGCTAGGTAAGGTGAGAGTTTTCCCTTGCTGGACCTACTTTTTGGTGACAAGTACGTTGCTTTGTCCGCATGTGGGTTTGACAGCAGGATGAAGACCTGGTATATCCAGCTGTGAGGACGACTTTAACCCCACACCCGCCGTTGCGTTGTACATCCGTGGTTTTAGCGCAGGTTGTGTCAGTCGGGGTGGCTGCACCCACGTCGTGCTCTGGAAGCAATCTGGGGAAGGAGATGCCAGCCCGGTGTTACAGCATGTTTAATAACTCCGACCAGCTCTGTGGTGTTTGTTGTGGGGTTTATTGCCAGGCATAAATCTGTAACACCAGGTTACACGGGTGTCTGGAAAATCTATCTGGGTACTGGTAACTTTAAAAATTATCCCTAAACAGCGAGTGAAATCTTTCTCATCTTGAATGTGGTCACCTGTTGCAAACTAAATTTCCTATTAAGCTTGGAACTGTAGCCAAGCCAGCTTGTACAGTAGTCAGCATTTACTCATTTTATCTGAAACAAATCCAGAAATCATTTGATGTACTTAGGCAGATGTTTCTTACCGTTATAACAGAGCAAATCTCTTGCTGATATTCAAATGCTGCAGGAACTGTGCGAAGTAAGATACAGAACTTGGGGGTATGTTTAATACAAGCCTGTTGGGTTGTAGATCTGTCAGAGCCCCAAATTTGCATTTCTTACATAAGCAGAAATCTTACACATGCTTTAGATGTGCTTTAGGAACTGCAGGAATTGCATTGCTGTGTCAAAACCACTGCTCTTAGTTGCAATCTGTGGGACTGCATGGACACTTACAAGGTTTACAATTTCAATCCTCACTGGAAATCTGTTTGCTGTTACACTTGATATTAAAACCTACCACAACAATTGTAAGAGCAGCATGAGACCTTGATGGAAGTGTGGACAGTTGTAAAATTCTGAAAATACACAGGAACAAAAACCTTGAAGTTTCCCTTCTGTTTAATTAATTGTTTGTTTTTGTTGGTGACAAGGTTACAAAGCATTTGTAATAAGCAAAGCATTTGTAATAGGCATGCTTCAGCTTTTGCCATTTTTTTTCCATATGGGTGTGTGCTTCCTTTTCATTATGTTGTTTTTCTTTTCTTTCTTTTTTTTTTTTTTTTTTAAAAACACAGCCACTCCTTTCATTTTAAGAATAAGACATGAGCTGCTTGCTGAGCAGAAAAAAAAAAAAAAACAACAGTTTCATAAACACTGCGATTCTGATCCTTGTAATCTTTTATTACCTGTAGGGGCAGGTGCAGGAAGCTACTACAGGAGAGGAGGTTTACTGACTTTTTCAAAGTTTGGGATTACAGAGAGAAAGTTTAGGACAACGTGGTTGAAAGGTGTGTTGCTCAGAAATACATCCCTTTTGCTTGTCTTACTTCATTTCAGTGCTGCCCAGTAGAGTTCTGAGCCCTTCAGCTTGCATTTTAAACTCAAAGTTGAAATAGGCTGTCTGAAGTCTCTACCTATTACCTTATTTGTTTCCTGCTGTTGTAAAATAGATTTTATTTCTGGAGATACTATCTTCTAATACTTTTGTTATCCGAAGTTACTCTGTTTGTTGCTGAAGAGAAAGTGAAGGGAAATACTTGCTTGATCTGAGTAAAAAAACCCGTCAATTAATGCTGTTAGATGTATTGACTCTGTAATGCTGAGATAGCGTCTGTAGGAAAACAACCAGACAGCTTAAAGAAGAAGTAAGAATTTTTTTTCTTTTTTCTTCTAAAGGATGCTGAAACTGTTTAAAATGCTGAAATGGGGGTAGGGCAAGGAGGGCGGTAAAAAATACATCACCCATCCCTTGTGATTCTGTGGTTTTGTCTGAATATTTTTTTTTTTTTTTGCCTTCTCCCTAAGATCAGCCAGGCGTTTCAATTGTGATCACTGCCCTAAGACTGTAGCTGTGTGCAGGGTGTCTCATTTGCCTAATATTAAAAAATATGTGTGTGTAATAACATTTTTATAATGCTTCCTATCTGGAAGATATGTCACACACCTTTGTATTAAGATTCAGAGCACCCTTTTTACATGTTACTCTGTTTTGTGGATGAAGACTCCTACGCATGGACTTGTTAGTGTACAGTTCCAGCCTGAATAATAGTTCAAAGCAGCTTATTACTTATTGCCAGAAAAAAATTTTCACTGTTCATCTGTCTTGCTCAGCCTAGTAGAACCAATCCATTTGTGAGAGAGTAATTTGTCTGCTTAAAACCATTATGGTTAATTTTCTAGAAGAAATGCTAACCAACTAACACATAGTAAGGGATCTGAGGACCTTCTTCCTCCCATCGTTCAGGAGATGCCTGGAAGCTTTAAAGCTTTGGTCTAAAATTGTATGTGCAGACCAAATCATAGCCATATCATAAGGTGTGAATTTCTGTCAAAACTTGTCTCAAAATGGTACATCCATTAAAAGGTATGTACAAGTAATTGTACTGCCATTTATATTACCAGGGCTACATTCTTTCTTGAATAAAATTAAGAAAATTGTGTCAAAGAATGGGATACAATATGAAACAACCAGAGATTAACCTTTTCATTCTCAAACTTTGTAACAGAGGTATTGCTGCATAAGCAGTATTACAAAAAAGGAAGAATAAGAGCAGCTTTATGTGCTAGCGTGACTTCGGGAAAGGGACAGTGAATTGCTGGTTTTACCATCTGCAGGAAAGCGAGCTTCTGAGCTGCTTGTGCACTTCAGATGTATTTGCTTATATTGCTTATATTTGCTGATATATACTGATTAATACATTTCCATTTTAAGTGTATAGCTGTCCTTTAGAAGACCGGATTTTCAAAGTGCCAGCCAGCAGACAGCACCTGTGTGCTTAATTCCAGCTGGTGGTGACACCTTCTGGATGCTGAGCACTTGGAAAATTTCACCTGTCATTTGGGTAATGGATTGAAAGTTGAGATTTTCCCAGAGCCTGGCATAATCCATTGTCAGTAATGTAGTAGGAGAAGAAAACAGTCCAAATCTGCAGTGTCCCAGGCTTTTTCTTTGAACCGTTATAAAATGTTTTCTTTTCAAATTGCTTTTAAAACATGACGATGCAAATTTGAACACTGTCTGCAAATTTGACCTGTATTTATATCTGCATGTTTGGAAGAAGCCCATAAAATTATTTCCATATTGTTTTCAGTAAATCTCCAGTTTATTATTCTGAGAAAATTTGTTGCATCTGCAGTGTGCACGATCTGGCTTTCTGATATGCAGATGCACAGCCTTGCATATCTAGTCAAATCAGTGTAGCAACTGCTTTTACAAACTACGTGACAATGTACACCCTCCTATCTGAGAATCAGATCAGACTAAAATTGGGACTCAGTCCAAAAAATAAAATACTGCAATCAATCTACTTACTGTGTCAGCACTCAGATTCGTTTCTGTTATATACACTGCAGGGAAAGGAAGTGGAAAATACATGCTAGCATCCAGGAGCAGATTCCTGAGTCATGGAGGATGGCCGAGATGGGCGTTGTTCATAGGAGTTGCTTAAAGGTTCCCATTTTTGCAGACAACGTATGGGCTAATACATGTTAAAGGGGATGTTCTAAGCCTGTGTGACACCAAGGAAGTCACTGCGTGACACCGCGGCTGCCGTGTGACTTCCCTCTTTCCGCTCAGCCCAGCTGTAGATGTATATGAAATAACAGTGATAGAACCATCTGCTAGTGTCACAGCATCCTCGGTCCGTGCTCCTCAGCCTTTAGACGCTGTCCCTTGGTACCAGCAGGGATTTGGGGAGTTCAGTCCCTTGGAAAAAAAACCTTACTTCAAATGCTGAGGGGTTCAAATTGAGTTGGCCTCTTGCTTAAGAACGTGTGTGTTTCCTTCCCTTCCGCCTGCCCCGCTGCTATTCTGGGCTGCTGGCCGGCACCTCTCATCTGTCTGGCAGGCAGTGGGCATCGCTCCCTGGGCAGGCGGCCGGGGGGCAGGTGGGATTCATGGCTCACCATCCATTCCTTCATGCTCGCCACTTAACCCACTCATTTCCAGTTCCCTAGACGCATCTTTCTGCCCTAAAATTTGCTTGATCTCAAGAAAATCGTCCACCTGTGCTTACAGGGAGAGGAGGACCAGTGCACCCGTGTAATGCTTCTCGGATCGCTGGAGGCAGCACTTGAGCGTGTAGCATGCACTGCGTAGCAGCAGGGTCACTTTGGGGTTGTAAGAGTAAATCTTTTAAAAGTAATCACACTTTAGAAGTGAATTAAGCACTCAAGTTTCTGGGTGAAAGCCAGTTGCCAAGGCTTAATCTGCACCCTAAAGCTCTGCTGGCAGTTCTGCCTGCTAATGGGTAAGAACACCAATATCAAAGCATCTTTCCTGATAAAGAGAAGTAGGACCTTTAATGCTCACAACAAAAATAAAAACATTTTAAAGGGTTTTTAAAATTACTGCTACACTGTAGATATGCAACAGACTACATGGGCGGGATCTGGCTCTGATACAAAGACCGGGCAGCATAATATACGTGCACATACATGTCTGCAAGTGCACAGGGATGGGATTCAGTTGCCTGCGTGTTGGTGTCTGGTGCCTTTGAGACACCTGAGGTAATCTGGGACATAACCATACCTGGCAGGTACAACATGAGTTTTATGTAGGCCAGGCAGGACACTGTACATCACCTGAAAATGACAGGAGGCATAGGTGCTATGTTTAGGCAACTAAATCTTCGCCTAAGTGTCCAAGCTGCTGTTGTAATTCCTGGAGATGCAATTTATCACTGAAGTCTAGAGAGCGATTCCGCTCACCCAGCAGCAGACATTTACATTTGGTGGGCTGAAATGCTATCCAGGTGCTACTGGATCTTTAGTGATTAGACCAGTGGTTTTTTTAATTTCCTCTGACACATAAGGTGAAACAAATACAAATAATAAATAGGTTGAAATACAAATCAGTTCACATTCTTGCAGTGAACATCTCAGAATTTGTAATAGTAAATTGGGATACAAAGAAACTGAATATTTTTATGCAGCTGGAACCCTGTGCAGAAGAAAATCATTAGACCCAAAGCCAATAACTTTTCATGAGTGTGATTACAGCTTATTGCTTGCACTTCCCATATAAGTTTCAGTGTCATGAGCACATTTCTTTAGCCATTAAGCTTTCTTTTTTTTTAAATAAAATTTTTGGTTATGTTTTGTGGTGGCTAAGTAATAAATAGTTATTCTTCTAGGTAAATAGGGGACAATTTATACTTTGAGCATTTTGAGCAATTTATACTGCAACACCTAAGAATGTTGGGTTTCTGTTCTTAATTGCCAGTTACTTTCTGTCTTTTATTGTATATCGGTTTAAAAAAAATAACAAGCCCGTTGTGATGCTTTTGATTAGGCTTCAACAGAGCTACTAAAAGTATAGTGTCCCTTTGTGAAAGGAGTTTTTAATTATTGTTAATTGTACTTGCTAGCTCCATTTCTGAAGGGAAGCGGAGGTGACCTCATCCTGAAAGTTGTCAGTGTCATGCTAGTGTCATTCACCGCCTGGAAAAGAGGTTGGTTTTTTTGTTTCTTGTTGCTATTTTTAATGAGAAGCTCTCAGCTGGCCTGATGGGCCCTGCAGCTTTGGAAACTCTGTCCAAACTCTGTCTCAGCAGCGTGCTTGTTTCTGAAATGTTAAGCTACAGAGCTGAGTTGTATCTGAGGAGCAGGGGGCCAGCAGAGCCTCAGACTTGTGGCCTGTCTGCTCCAGTAAAGTCTCTAACAGCAGCCAGTACCAAAGAGTTTGGGGAGAGGCAGTGGAGTCCTTACAGAGGACAGTTACCAAAGATTTGAGAGCTTATTCCTACTCTTTCATACTAACTAATCTAATAATCTTGGATGTTTTCATTATCTATCCAGAGACTTGGATTTCTTAACCATTTGCAGGTCCTGACCTTTGGCGTAATCTTGTGAGGTCCACACTTCATCTGCGCTTTACACTTCAGTGAATGCAAAGAGATTCCCTCACCTTTTGGACTGCAAACCACGTAGGGCAGTGGTGGCTTTATGTGTGTTTGGGCAGATGCCAATGTATTGTGACCAATCGGTGGTCAGTTGTGACCATAATGTAAATGCCTAAATATTTATAATCGGTGTAGTTCATTGAGCGTCTCCGTATCTCAGGAGAAGGATGAATAGGAGTGCTTTTTTGTCTCTCTTCACTATTCCGTATTTCTTAAGGTGTTACCTTGTTTAGTCTTAAATGAACCTTCTCTAAAATACCCTGAACTTTCCAATTCCATTTCAGTTCACCCAGTGCCATCTGCCACAGTGTCTGCTATGTATTTCAGTCCTGACGAAAATCCTCATTTCTCGTCGGTACCTCCACACTCTTTCGTAGCGATGATGTGACAAGCTAAGCTGGCAAGTTGTTCCCATCTCTGTTGCCAATTATATAGCAATGTAAAGAGGCAAATTCTGACAACCTGAGTCCTTAGAGGTGTTTGAATACTTAACTCGGAGTGAAATCATTAGCAGTGAGGCTCTTTAACATCCCCGGGGCTATAGGCTGGGGTCTTGGCTCAACTTTTGCTCAGGCAGTCTCTTGCTGACTTTACTCACTCTACTTTTTGTGTCTCAGGCAAAAAAAGCTGTTGATTTTTCCCCAGTATAAGAACCACTGACTTGGAGATAGACAGAGGGTGGGGTGCTAGGGGTTCCCTCTACAAGGGAATAAGCATTCAGCTGTTTTGTTTTCTACCCCTGGCCTGGAGAAATCTGCAAGGTCGGGGAGCTTGGTCCGTTTAATGGATCTACTCACCACTTTGCCACATACATTGGGAACCCTGGTCTGGAGCTCCCAGTTGGTCTCACTCCTTTGCTTTCAGCTGCTCATTAAAAGACAGAATTAAAATCTCAGTGGCGTGAGATGTTTGGGCTTTCTGCAGTGGTTTTCATTCTGCAGCTCCCAGATTTTGTGTAGGCAAAAGAACTGAAGTTTCAGTAAAAGCACTGAACACTGGACTCAGGTCACCTTACACTGACTTTATTCAGTCCTTCCTTTGCTGTATATAATGTGGCAATTACAAGTGCACTTCAAAGGATTATTTTGAAAGCTGTGGTAGTTTGTTAGCATTTTTGCAATCTTACAAAAAATAAATGTTAAATAGAAATATTCTCAAAGCTCTTCATCTCCCAGGGTTGAGTTTGTTGTCTTGTTCCACTTTGTAGGTTTTTTTCTTCTGTTTTTAAAAATGTGGGCCTGTTCGCATCTTTGGCTGTTGACATTCTTCAAAATCTGAGTTACTGTACAAGATACCGGGCATGCTGGAGGTGGATACAAAAAGACATTTACAGGATTTAGTTTCTGAAATGGTGGGTACCGTGTTGGGTAGGAAGGTACATCTGTTATCAGCACTGAGTACAAACTTCTTCATCCCGAATGGAAACACAGGAGACTAAGTCTTCTCTCTTCTTCACAAACTACTGCAGAAATTGTGGCCTTCCGAAGTATTCCTTGAATTGTCGGACTGTATGTTGTATAGTATTTCAAAATGGGATATGAAGAACCTGTTAACCTGCTGACATCAAAGGCACTCTAGAAACACAGCTACCAGCCTCTGTTGAGAAGAGGTAGAGTGATTTCCTGACCCGAGCCTGCCCTGTGGCGAACATAAAGCAAAGCTGTATTCCCAATTTTGGGCTGACTATCTTGTTTCCCAACAGAGGACCGCTTTTCAAGCGCAGGAGGGGAACGGCAAGCGTGGCTGCTGCAGCAGCAGATGCGAAGCCCTGCCGTGGGAGAGCGGGGTTTGTTCTCGTCTTTCACATCCCTCCGGCTTCCCGCACTGCACCACCCTGCTTTTCGGCCGTGGGCACGGAGAGCGTTTGGCACGAAGACAGGAGACGTACTGAGGACTGCCAGGCAGCAGCAAACATAGCACGGCTCCTTCTCTCGTGCCAGACGAGCTTTTGATGGCGGACTTCGGAGGCATACGATTCACGTGGGCACAGCTAGCTCTTGATTTTAAAAAAATAAACCCACTTGAAACTACCCTGGGGCAAAAATAAATGACTGCAAGAATACCAGAGGATTGAGCAACATGCAAAGGACATGTTGTTTCCTTTAAGGATTCTGACTATAAATGACGTCACTCGGATAGTTTGGATGTTTGTGAGCACTACAAGGCTTGGAAAGGGAAAGCAAATCGGAAAAACACTGGGAAGCTGAACAATTTGTTTTGTTTTATGACTCCCTGGTAGTTTAATGAGGGAGCCATTACTCATGCACTGTCACTGCACATCTAGAAAATTCCTCTGGGTTTAAAAACTGGCAGGAAAAAGTAGTTTCCTAAAAACCACTGAGTTAATGAGATGAAGCCCATTGCTCAGGAGTCCCTAACAGGAAGGGTCAGAGGCAGAGTTGTGCAGGATTCATGGTATGTTGAAAATCTTCTCCACAGGGTGTTTCAAAGACCAGACAGTGCTGGCAGGAATGCAGCAGGCGTGCTCAGCATCCCTCTTTTAGGATGCAATACTGTGGATTTGGGGAGAAAAAAAGACTGCTTTGACTGGGACGTCATAGCCAGTCCTTCCCCTCTGTTCCTCTGTGTCTGAGAATAACTGGGACTGGGGTACTG